TTTGAGCGTATGAGTTTGCTGTTTCCTGGAAGAGCAAGCCTCCTGTAGAAGGCTCCAGGTTAGCACAGTGCTTTCTTGCTGACCTCAGGGTGGGATACATTGGTGCAGGTTACTGACCGTCTGATGTGCTGCTGGTCAGCAGTGATGGGGGTGCAGCTCATGTGCAGCTTTACATCCTCCCTCGCCCCGCAGCCTGCAGCCAGAGCTTGGGCCCACATTTCTCACTGCCTCCTGCTGCGCAGCGTTTGTTCCTAAGTCCTGTTCTGCCCAGGCGTGAGCAGGGGTCTGCCGCAGCAGTTCTGGCTCTGTGTTTGCCAAGTGGGCCTCCTGCTGTCAAACTCGGCTTCCAGAGCTAAAGAGTGCCATGTATGAGCCTTGCCACATCGCTGTGCTCTGACTGAGGTCAGAGACGTGTCTGGGTGGCCTTGCAGACGCTGCATCTCAGCCAGGAGCCCCACGTTGCTGCTGAGTGCCCTGAGAAGCCTGCTTCGCCCCAAGGAAGTGGCTGCTCAATGTGAGGGGCAGTGCCTGCCATGTGCCAGCTGAGCAGGGAGTCTGGCCCTGAGTGGACAGCCACCAGCCTGCTCCTCAGCACTGTGGGGAGCTCTGGCTCCTGTCACTGCCTCCAGGGGCAACAGGGCTCCTGCCCTGCACCTGCAGTTATGGCRGAGCCAGCAGCAGCTGTATGGCTTCTCACTGGTGGAAAACCAAGCCCTCCTGACCATCAGGCTTATCAGTGTGTAAGAAGTCATTCAGTCTTTCCCCGTCAAACAGGCCATGACAGGAGTCTGTCTACCTGGGCCATGGTCAGGGCCCAGGGTGCTGGCAGCTTCCTCTGGCAGGCCCAAATCACCGTCACACAGACACCCAGTCCCTGGGCCCCTGTTCATATGGACAGAGTGGGTGGACACAGGGAAGTCGGGTTGAACTTCAGTCACTCACTGACTGTGAATTAGTTTCTGTGTCTAAACTGGCAATGTTTTTCCATTTGTCTATGGTGAACTTTATGGAGTGACATCAGCTTTAGTCACGTGGTGAGAGGTGTGTGACTGACTGTGTGGCCTTCCTCTCACCTCTTCAGTTCCTCCATCTCAAAAACAGCTCTGGAGAGTGGACACTCTGTTCACCTTGGGCATGGTCTTGGCACTTTCTTCCCTGGGTCCTGGAGGAGCATGGTCACTCTCGCATACCGACTTTGCTAAAGAAAGCCACTAAAAGCTGGCTGCTCTCGGGGCCTGCAGTGAAGGGGACTCCTTCCCTGTGAGGATGCTCACCAGGGTGCCTGCTGGCTGCCTGCTGGCTGGAGAACATGCTGCGCCCGGTCCGCAGCTCAGGACCTGTCGGCAGCGTGCCGTGAGGCAGGCCCTGGAGCCAGGCATGTGGAAACACGCAGGGTCACAGTCACTTCACGGGCCAGGCCTGGGGTCTAGTGTAGGGCCCCACGCACAACCTCCCGACCTCTGGCGTGTCTGTGAGGCAGAGATCCTGTGCACTGTGTTGGACCAGCTGCTAGAGGAGGAGCTCTGGAACAGTGTAGGCCCACCCACAGGTCACCAGAGGCACCTCTCAGGGCTTCCTTCACTCTGGCTCCTGGACAGAAGATTTTGAAAATCTGTGGGCCCAAGTGGCTTGCAGTTGGTTGGTGGCTAGGATGTGGGGCTGGGGCACTCCTGCCTTCCTCGGGCAGTGTGTGTACACGTGTGTGTACACAGGAGCTCACATCCTGCCCCAGCCCTCCCCAGCTGGAGCAGGATGTACACTGCGGCTCAGCTGTGGCTGGTCCCCTTTCCTAGGTCTCAACAAACACTGCATGGCAGTCCAAGCAGCCCCTGGCGTCCAGGGCCTTGGGGGCCGGAGAAGAGCCCTGTTGTGCACCTCAGAGTATGTTCTGTTCCATARCAGGAGCTAGCTGCTGTGTCCAAGAGTTTCACGTTGTTCTCTGGTGAGGTGTCCTCTGACCTAAACTCAGTCCGTCTTTCTGAGCCCAGAGGCAAGTGCCTTAGTGGATCTGCTAGTCTCTGACCACAGTGCACAGGAGCCTGGCGGCTACTATATGAATGGAGACAGAGGCAGACACGGGCCAGTGGAAGCTCTGGGTTCTTCCAGAGACAGAGGTGATGTGATGAGCAGGGGACTGGGCAGGAAGATGGGCTGTGGGGTGTGGGTAGAGATGGAAAGAGTGGATGGTGTCCACAGGACTCATAAGAGACTGGACGCCAGGCTCCATGGCGTGCAGCTGAGTGAGTGGGAGGGTGGAACCTGGGGAGCATGATCAAGAGGAGATTTGGGGAGAGGCAGAGGACATAGGTGGTGTGCAGAGAGCCAAGGRTCTAACACTGGGTTTGGCCATCTTGGACCCAGGACAGCAGGTGGCAGTCCACACACATACACAGAGCAACAGAAGCAGGGCACAGCCTCCCGGAGGTGTGGCTTGCACCACATCAGAGACCAGGGTGCCCTGCCTGTGAGGACTAGATTGGGGTCTCCTGCATTAGTGATCATGAATTTCAGGTGTCTGACAGCTAGAAAAGAAATTTTAAAACCAAATGGTGTTCCAGAAGAATCTGAGTTTTGCAGATTGGAGTTTCTACTCACAGACTGTCGGTCTCGTCCTAAAAAGCAGAGGTCAGCGAGGACCTATCTGTATTTCGATCAGGGGCCTCACCAGGGCCTCACCATGCTCACCTGCCCCCCGGCTCTGCAGGGGCACAGTCTGGCAAGTGCAGTGCAGACCTGGCCCTGGACGGAGAATGACGTGGCATTTTTCGAGGCAAGAGTTGACTGATTCTAATACTTTTTGTTCATAATTGTTAAAACAAGTTTATTTTCCATCTAAATTTTATGTGGTGGTACATTTCACCTTTGTCTACATTGTTAAATTTTACGTGGTGGTACATTTTCACCTTTGTCTACCTTTGTTTATGTGGAACCAGGTCAGAGGATTGTGGAAAGGTAACTGTCTGTCTCCTTGAACATGCACCTCCTTTGGAAGTGCTGGGACCACGAATGCAGGCTTTTGAAGGAGGCTTGCTCTGTGTGCTGCTTCTGAGTTGTCTCTGAGGAGCTGCCATGGGTCCAGGGCGGGATTTTATGGCTGAGGACTATGGGATTTGAAAAGATTTTCTGTATGTTGCTAGATTGCCTTTTTAATAAAAGTTGTCAAGGAGGTAGCACTGAGGCTGGCTCTGGTGTTTCAGGGAGGCCAGGTACAGGGAGTGCTGGGCTTTACATCTCTCTGTGCAGTCACCTGGGAGCCTGTGCTCCTGGCCTGCTGTGCTGCTCTTAGCTGGGCCTGCCAAGCACAGCCTCCTTGGCTCCTTGTGCAGTAGAGACCATACCAGTGGGCTGCAGAGCCATCCAGGGGCCAAAGGGATGTGAGACACTGGCAGGGACCAGGCCAGTGTCACCACATCCCATCCTCCCTTAAAAAGTTCAKAACATGCCCCAACCTGGCCGCTTTACTTCCCACCTGGCTGCCCCCCAGYGCTGGGTGGCTTCAGTAGCCTCCCATGTCACAGGGCAGCCCCTGCAGTCTTTGTCCACAGTCACACCCAAGCCAGCTGTGTAAGGCAGCCCATGTCCACAGAGCTGCAGGGCTCAAGTGTGTGGAGGGCTGTGGAAGACACTTGGGGCAAGGGGGAAACTGATTGGGCTTTGATGTCAGGTGGCATGTGGATGCCACTGTCGATTTCTGCAGTGAGTGGTACTGTCACGGTCATGGAGGAGAGAGCTCTTGTCAGAGTCCCACACTCTGCGTGGGAGTGAAGGACCATGGGGCCTTTCATTGTTCAGCCAGAAGCAAAGCCCCAGGTATGTGCACGTGTGTGAGGACATACTGCATCCTTGGCCTGCACATTCCCTAATCTGAGGACTGGACTCAAACAAAGTTGAGTTAGAACCAACTCTTCTCCCACCCACATGCAAGGCCCTGTGTAGTCTGGCCATGGTCAGCTTCCCCTGACCAGCATCCTTGTGCCCCATCTTATTAGCTCAGCCCTCTGTGGACTTCTTATGTCTTTTGTGTAGGGTTGAGGGGTCCACAAAAGTAAGCCTTGTTTGTTGAGTTTATAAAAGCAAAATTTAATTGTAAAGGACAAGCCAGTGAGTTCTGACGAATGTGTGCAGTTTTGTAACCACCACTGCAGCCAGTGGTAGAGGTTCCCCAGGGCTCTTGTCAGGATTGATGAATTTAGCAAAAGAAAAATATGTTTATGTACATACATACATGCCTGTGCGTAAATATACATGTATGAACATGCATACACTGTATGTGTGTATATATATATATATATATATATATATATATATATATATGTATATGTAAAAACAGCAAGCTAAAGTTGAATTTCAGATCAATAGCAGGTAACTTAGCACAGTGTGCTGTTTCATGGCCAGCCTTGCCCTGTGGGTCTCCCTGCCCAGAACGCAGAACGCCGTGTGGCATGCAGCAGGCATCCGTGATTGCTTATTCAATCCACAGATGGGGCATGTCTGATGGTTGTTGGGCATGGAGTTGCAGGCCAGTCCTGAGGAATGAAGAGGTGAGAGGGAGACAGGGGCTAGACAGAGAGAGGCCAGTGCCTAGTGGGTGGGTGTGCAGAGCCCACACCACGTAGGGACAGCTGAGCCAGCCAGGGTTGGAGCTAAGGGTCAGCACTTGGAGACGCCCAGCCCAGCCCAGCCCTGGCCCCAATCTCCCAGTTTAGTTGTGCACCCAAGCCTGGAGGTGGGTTGGGTACTGGCAGGCCCTCAGGGCAAGCCTGTGGGGCAGTGGCCACAATGAAGTGAGAAGTAGTTAACCTGCTATGGCTTAGGTGCCACTGCTCCCCACCCCTGGGGTTCTGGATCAAGCTGAGGACCCTGCACATGCCAGGCAAGTACTCTGCCCTGAGGTAAACCCCAGCTCCTAGGAATGCCTTCACTCATTGCTCAGAGCCTCACTGAGGCTGGGAATGCTCCCAGCACAGCCTCTGATCTGGTCTTTCTTTTTCCTCTTATAGGCACTAGGAAGCTTTTATTTTCTTCATGAATCCTTAAAAAACATCTACCAGTTTGACTTTAAAGGTAAGAGTCCATTCTGACTTCTGTTGCCTTCTCTGGGTCCCCTCTGCCTGTGTCCTTGTGAGAGGGCCTGTGTGGTCTGGGTTTGGTGTACCATGTAAGCTCCTGGCTGTCCAGCTCATCTGGTCCTGGGCTGCTTCCCCAGCCACCTCTTCTGCTCTGGCTGAGGCCCTGGCTGGGGACCTGGCTTTCCCACAGGAGTTGCAAGGAGAAGGAAATGGTGTTCCTGTTGAATGTGAGAAAATGAAGCAGAATAAGAGGATCGTGTCCATCAGAAGCAGAAGTGGGCAGGAGAATGTGGTTGTGGCCATGGAGAATGCTGCCCTCGTTTCAAGACCAGCATCTGTACCTGCACTCTGAGATGCTCCTGATGAGATGCCTGCCACCCTTGTCCTTCCTGAGGCAGAAGGGAGATTTCAGTGTGGGCCCACCACATATGGGATATCCATGTCACCGTCCACGCGATTTCTCTGTTCCTGTTGCACATAAACCGTCCTGAGCTCCGTGCAGGTCTGGAGTCAGGCACATCACCCTGAGATGTCATCAAGGTTGTGCTAGCCATGACAACAGCTCCTTCTGTCCATGGATTTAGGTGGTGATTTCTGCTTCTCCCCACCAGGCAGGGCCCCGTGCGCGTCCGGGGAGCACTCCTCTGCATTGCTTGAGCTGCAGTCCTTCACTGTCAGCAACGGGAAGCTTTGTCACTGCTTGCCGTCGTAGCTTTTCAGATACTTTTAGATATCAGCACCTGGTGCTCCCATGAGGCGCGTGGTTGGAGAGGGAGCTCTTGGGCCTTTGCCTGTGGCCCTGTAGGCACCATGTCCTCGATGGCAGATGTTCAGACAGTGTGTCCTGGGTGAAGCTGAGGGCAGAGGGGGGCTCCTGAGAAGGTTGTSTGTCAAGCCTAAAGGGGTCTCACACCTGTACAGCTTTCTCCTCTTCTTTGTTTTCCCCCAAAGGAATCTCTGTACGTGTTTTACTACTAAATGAAATCAGTCAGACTGACTGACAGTTTGTTCAGAACTGTAGCATTAGGCTGCTGTGTAACTTGAGCAACGCCTTCCCGAGGGGCTTCCACGTTGTTGGAAGGGCATAAATGAGGTAAGACAGTGGACACGTCCTCAGGTGCCTGTGTGATTCCAGGACGGTGTTAGTAGTGCAGATGCTCACAGTGGCAGCCCAGCAGCTGTTGTGACCGACCTGTCAGTGTCACCTGGCATGTGTCTTATGGGGTCACAGGCTGGGGTGAGCATGGCTGCCCCCTGCTCCTCATATCTCTTGTTCTTCTGGCTTTGAGTTACGGTAGAACAATTTAGAATTTGTAAAAAGTTTGAATAAACTTTTAAAAGCAATAGCCTGAATTAAAAAAATAAGGACCTAGTTGAAATTTAAGGAGTACCCAAAGATACAGAAACGAGGTTGTCTGGACTCCAGTTCTGACCAACATGTGAGCAGTTTGAAAGGCCCGGCTCCTATTCTCAGAGGAAGCTAAACAAACTTCATATAGACAGCCCTTCCCAGATCCACCAGGGGCTGAGAGAWCAGGGACATCCCGTGCCCAGGACACACACACACACAGGCACAGGGTCATGGCTTCTGAGGAGCAGGATCGGCCCCTGGAGTCTGCGCTGTGGGAACTAAGGCTGAGCGTGGACTAGTGTGGGGAGAAAGCTCCCGGGACCACACATTGTGGGTTCTACCACAGGAGCCCTGCCCTCCACATTCTCATGGTCAAGACCAGGAGGCTGTCTTCTTCTGCACAAGGTCTGCTCTCAAGAGGACTGTGTCACTCGGTCCAATCTGCTGGGAATATCTGTTATAAGAAATGTGTACTGCTTATGAAGGAGATCAGTGGCTTTTGAAAGTGAACTTAAGCTAGACACAGTGGTTTATGGCTGTGATCCCTGCAACTCAAGAGGCTGAGGATTGCAAGTTAAAAGCCAACTTTAGTAAGTTAGGGTTAAGGTCCTACGCAACTTAACAAGACCGTCTCGCAAAATAATTCTTTTAAAAAGCTGGGGATGTGACTCAGTGGTAAAGTGCCCCTGGTACCCCCCCCCAAAAAAAAAAAAAAAAGAAAGTGAACTTTTATTTAAAAGAATGGAACCATATAAAATGCTCAATAAAAACCACAGAAGACAGAAGGAGTAGGAGACAAAATGAAACCAAGTATAGAGGCATGAAGAAAAAAGTTACAAATATGGTAGACGTTACTCACTTAAAATTGAAGGGTCTGAAGGAGATTGTCAGAGGATAAAAGCACCCGGTTGTGTGTTGTATATTAGAAACCCACGTAAGATATAAAGACAAAGGTTGAAAGCAAAGAAATAGAGAAAGATACACCATGTTGTTTTAGTCAGCTTTTTCATTGTTGTGACCAAAAGACCTGGCAAGAATAATGTGGAGAGGAAAAGTTCATTTTGGCTCACAGTTTCAGAGGTTCAGTCTGTAGATGATGGACTCTATAGCTCTGGGTCCAAGGTGAGGGAGAATATCATGGCCCGGGGGCATGGAGGAGAAAAGCACCTCAAGACACGGAAAACAGGACACAGAGGGAGCTCCACTCACCAGGGACAAAATATAAACCCCAAAGGTGCAACCCAGTGACCCACTTCCTGCAGCCACACCCTGCCTGCAAAYAGTTACCACTCAGTTAATCCCTATCAATGAGTTAACCCACTAATTAGGYTACAGCTTTCATAATCTAATAATTTTACCTCTGAAAGTTCTTTCATTGTCTCRCACATGAACTTGTGGGGGATACCACATATCCAAACCTTAACAATTCAGCCTATGACCTCCAAAAGCTCATGCCCATCTCACAATGCAAAATACACTTAGTCCATTTTCAAGAGTTCCAACAGTCTTAACAGTTTTAGCATTGCCCAAAAGTCCTAAGTCCAAAATATCTGACACTCCAGGAAAACTCTTGGGTGCTTTCTCCTGTAAAGATTAAAAAACAAGTTTCATATATTCAGCATATAATAGCACAAAATAAACATTTCTRTTCCAGTAGGGGAAAATAGGGGCATAAAAAGAAGAGATGGGACGAAAGCAAGACCAAAATCTAGCTGGGCAAACAAAAACTATAGTGGCACACCCAGCATCTGGGCTACACAGAATACTGATATTCTCTCCACGATGCTTTTGTACACCTCTTCCCTCTGGCCTCTCTGGTTACAGCTGGATAGCCTCTCTCTTGGCCTGTTTCTGCTCAGAGCTGCAGCTTTCCTTAGCAGATGTCCTRTACTACTGGCATCTCTGAATCTCAGGGTTCTCACTGCCATTTCAGCTTCCTTCCTATACCTTCATGCATCACCCTCTCAGGGGTAGCCTGCAGGGACTCCAACCCTGCTACATTTTGCCTGGCCTCTCAGGTTTTCCTTTGAAATCTAGTAGAAGCCCTCATGACCCCCTAACTCCAGTATCCTTCAATGCTGCAGAACCAGCATCAAGTAGTTGACACCAAGGTCTGCCACCATCTCCAGCAGTAGCCAAGCTTCCTGGACCATGGATGGCTGCAGCAGCCTCTGAGTGCCTCACAATAAAACAACTTCCTGCAAACCCCCTTACTCCCCTACCCCATGCCACAAGCAGGGCACCCTTATGAGCCTGAGATGCTCTCAAGSCATTGTATCTATTGTTTCTGGGTAAAGTACTTAGCATTTCTTTAGGGGTGTTATCAGTTTAACAACCACACCATCCTTAGCCCCAGTTTCACTTGCCAAACTGCAAGTTTCTCAAATCTTTCTGCTTTGCTCTGTACTCCTGATATCACAGTAAACCCGGATAGAACATGTCAGCAATATCCATTCAGGCTACCTGAATTCTGTGTTGCTTTGAAATTTCCTCTGCCCAGTTAATTAATCCATCACCTTTAATGACAGCCTCACAGAAAGTCTCAGGACATGGACAAACTGTAGACAACTTTGTTGCCAGCACATTACTTGAATGACCTCTAGTCCAATTTCCTATAGAATCTTCTTATTCTGAAACCTCATGAGCCTGGTCTTTATTATCCACAGTCCTGWCAGCATTCTGGTCTTCTGAACTCCCACCAGAATTGCCCATTGAGCTATACACTTAGAACATTGGAAAGCTTTTCTAGCTTACATCCCAAAAGTTTTAAAAATTCTTCCTCCAAATTCCAAAAAGCTCCAAAAGTTTCTGAACCATGTGGTCAGGTTAGTCACAGCAATAACCCACTTCTCAGTACCAATTTCTGTTTTAGTCAGATTTTTTTTTGTTTTTCTTCTCTGTGTCCAGAAGACCTGACAAGAACAATTTAGAAGAGGAAGATATCTATTTTGATTTACAGTTTCGGAGGTCTCAGTCCGTAGACAGCTGACTCCAAACCTCTCGGCCCAAGGGAGARCATCATGGTAGCAGAGCATGGGGGAAGGAAGCAGAGAAGGCTCTACCCACCAAGACCAAAGACACATCTCCACCTCCTCCAGCCACTCCCCTCCTGCTTACAGTCACCACTCAGTTAATCCCTATCAGTGAATGGATCCACTAATTAGATGATAACTCTTGTAATCTAATTATTTTACCTGGGAACATGAGCCTTTGGAGGGACACATATCCAAACCAAAACTTGAATAGCTATATTACTTTCAGACAAATTAAACTTCAGAGCAAGGAAAATTATCAGCAACATAAAGAGACATTACATAGTGACAAAGATGTCAGTTCTCCAAGATGTAGCAATCCTCAATGTGTATGTACATGACAACAGAGCATCAAAATATGTGCGGCAGAGGCTGATCTGCAAGGAGAAATGGAGGGACTCACAATTATAGYTGGCAACTTCGGCACCCTCTATCACAAATGGACAGATCCAGCAGGCAGAAAATCACTAAGGACATAGTTGAATTCAACAGTACCACCAAGCGACTTGAGCTAATTGTCACTTATGGAGCAATTCATCCAACCACAGCAGAACATACCTTCTTCTTTAGCTGACACGGAACATTTACTGAGATAGCCCATGTTCTGGGCCACAGAGAGCACCTTCACAAATTCTAAAGAAGAGAAATCATATGGAGTCTGCTCCCAGATCACAATAGAATTAAATGAGTTATCAGAAACATGGGGATTGCTAGAAAATCCCCAAATATCTGGAGATTGCATACACATTTCTGATTAACACATGGGTGAAATGAGAAGTATCAGGAGAAATTTTTTAAATATTTTAACTAAATGAAAAATGCAGCCTATTAGAATTCATGGACTATTAGCAATAACTATGCTGCGAGGGAGATTTATAGCATCAAATGCATATCTTAGAAGAAATATCTAAATGATATTTAGATCTACCCTTCAACCTTAGGAAAGCTGAGGAAGAAAAATTAAATCCAAAGTAAGCAGAAGGAAAGAAATAATAGAAATCAGAGCAGAAATCAACAGAATTAAAAATAGAGAAATCAAAAAACCAAAATTAGTTCTTTGAAAAAAAAAATCAATAAAATGGATAAACTTCTAGCCATACTAACCAAAAAGAAAAAGAAAGAAAAGACACAAGTTATTAATATCAGAAATCAGTGAGAGACCAACACTACTGATCCTTTAAGAATACAATAAAGGACTGTTATGAAAAAGTCTATGCCTTTAATTTAACAAGGTGATAGACCAATTCTTCGTCCTCAGACAAGAAGGGCTAGGTAACCTGAATAAACCTGTAGCCATTAATGAAAATTAATCAAAAAGAAGACACCAGGYCCAGATGGGTTTCCTAGTTAACCTGTCAAGCACTGAAGGAAGATTCCACTAGCTCTCCACATTTGCTCTCAGGAGATAGAGCAGTGGGTGCCTCCTCAGTTCTGTGGGGCCAGCATGCATTACCACCTGTTACCGAAACCAGAGGGCCCTCCTGAAGGACCACTGCAGACTGTGTCTCTCGTGCTCACACAGTGCAAGTGTTCTCAACAAGATTTTAGGGAATTGAACCCAGGAATGTATTAGAAGGATTTTACACTGTGACTGGGATTCATTCCAGATATTTCAGACTGGCTTGGCATTTGAAAATCAACTAATGTGACCCATCATATCAGCAGGTTGAGGAAGAAGATTATGTGATTACTTAATAGATACGGAAAAGCATATGATAGAATCATCCATTCATGATGAAAACTTTGAGCAAACTAGAAATAGATTAAAAACTTGGTTAAAAAGAGAGAGGAAATGTCTGTAAAAAAAAAATAAATGAACTACAGCTTTAAAATTAATGAGACATTAGTAAACAGAAAATTTGAGGAAGAGATCAGGAACAAGGCAAGGATGTTCCCTCTCAACCACTATGGCATCCTACTGGAAATCTTAGCTCTTGAAATAARACAAAAAAGGCAAAAAAGAAAGAAAAAGAAATGAAGGAATATTTGGGGGTGGGGTAGAGGATAGAGTTGTCTTTGTTCTCAGATGGCATGATTTTCTATTTAGAGAATCCTAAAAAGTCAACAGTGCCTGAGAAGGTTGGTACTTACAAGCAATTATAGCAGTGTTGCAGGATACAGTTAACACAGCTTACTGCTTTCCTACGTATCTGCAAATAACAGGCGGAATTTGGAATTAAAAGAACAGACTGTTTACATGAGCACACACTAAAAGTAGTACTTAATAAAACAAAACAAAATATGATTTAAACCAAGATCTCTGTGAGGAAAACTATAAACCTCTAATGAAAGAAATCAAAGGTCTGGGAAAATGGAATTATGCCCTATTCACGTGGTCTGAGTGCTTGTATGCGCACCCCCCCCCCATTCCTGTATTGAATTCCAAAGTGAAGACATCGGGAGACAGGCCTTTGGGAGGGCCCTGGCCACGAGGGCACAGCCCTTGAAAGAGGCCCAGACCCAGCTTGCCCTTCTAGCATGGGAGGACACTTGCCAGACTCAGAGTCCACCAACGCCTTCATTCTGGACTTGTAGCCTCTAGAACTGTGAGAAACAAATCATTCACACCCTCCAGGCTGCGGTATGTTGTTGCAGCACCTAAATGGACTCAGGAAGATAAAGTTCTCAAGATTTCAGTTCTTGTCCACTTGATCTATAGGTAAAGCATGAGTTACTTCCTGTAAGTGGACTGCTYATAAAAGTTATGTGGAGAGGGACATCCTCAGAATCTCCAACAGCTTTGAGGAAGGGCCATCAGAAGGCCCATGCCACTGRCTTCCAGATGTCCTCTGCAGTCTTCAGGCAGGTGGTGAGCAGCCTGGAGTGCTGCCCAGCCCCTGGAGGACACGGGAAGGTGGAAGAAGAGTCTGAATTGCTGACTGGTGTAGGGTCTCAGTCTGGAAAAGGAAACCCAAGTGGACACTGAAAGACCAGTGGCTGCCTGGGGTAGAGCAGTGAGCCTGTGGCCCAGGGGACGTTTAGGATAGAGATACTGCTTTGCACGACCTATACTGGTGGACACAGGACATTCTTATGCATCTGTCAGAGCCCTTAGAATGTGCAGCAAGAAGAGCGAAGCCCCAAATGGACAGGGGACTTCATTTGTAATAATATGTCCATCCGGGTTCCTCAGTTGCCACCTGCATACCAGTAGAGGAGTTGGGGGGTACACAGGAGAACTATATTGCTCCTTTTTGTGTAAACCTAACAGTTTTCCAAAAACCAGTTTTTTAAACAAGGAAGGCCCTCCCTTTACTCCTGCCCCAGTCTCTTCCCCATCCTCAGAGGAAAGCAAGACAGTCCCTTGCTTCTCCTCTCAAGCACAGTGGCTTCCTACAGCCACCTGAAACACCACGGACCCCACAGCCTGCACCGTCTTCCGTAGCTGCATGCTAGCATGGTACCTATCCTGCATGTCCATCGTGAGCAGGGTGCTGAGACCTCAGAGGCTGTCCTGGTGTTCCTGGTGTTGCTGTGAGAAGCCCTGTACCAGGCATACCTGCAGAGTGTCCCGGTACAAAGGCACTCAGCCCAGCTGGGACCTAGCTGGTGGATCGTTAAGAAGTGCAGCTTTGGTTATGTGGGCAGTCCCCGGTCACAGGTGCAGAATCCCATGTCAGAGAGTGCTTGTGTGTGCTCTCAGTGCCCTGGCCCAGCCCCTCCCCATCTGAGCTGCTTGGGTCACAGACCCAGGCAGGCCAGGCTCCAGCTTGTCTCCTCAGGCCTGGCTCTCTGTGAGTCGACCCAGAGTGGGCTCAGCCCTGGCTCTTGGCACCACATCCCTCACTCTGCTCCTGTGCTGCCCCAAACTGCCATGGTGTGGTTAGCGCTCCGGAAGCCGCGGGTCTTAGCTGCCATTCTGCACATAAGCTGCCAGTATAGCTTGCCACATGTGCCAAAGCTGGAATCCAAGAATCTGTGTGACACCGCAGGAGTGTCGCCCTGAGAGTGCTTGCTCTTGGCCCAGGGGACTTTGGGGTGTCATCTGGGCTGGGCCCTGTCAGGCCCTGCCTTGACTCTCGGCAGCCTCTGGACCACGTCCTGCTCGGGCTCCCAGCTGTCTTTCAGAGACTGGCAACCGTCTGCCCCAAGCCCCTGCCTTTGGAGCCATTTGAGAAATGGAGTCAGGTGCTTTAGTCACATACCGCTGAGGACATGGGGATGTGAGACAGAACCCCGGCCAGCCCCATCCACAGGCCCTGCCAGCCTAGGGAGGCATCGGGGAGCCATGTCCCTGGGACTCGAGGGGCTCTGGGCAGCAGCTGGTCAGGCAGGTGCGTCCCTCCCTCCATCTGACATGGAAACTCTTCCCTGGAATATGAGTGATGGGGCTGTGTGTGTGGAGGAAATCGATGTTATTAAATAAATTCATGTGACGGTCTATGTGAATGGTCATTCCACAGCCCTCTTCAATATATTCATGGMTTTAAAAGAGGGTGCCAATTAGCCCCTGTAAATCTACCCGCTGGGAGCTCCTAGGGGATAATGAAGTGGAGTGTCAGGGTCCAGGTCGTGGAGCGGGAATTTACGAGCCACAGGGTGTCCAGAGCAGCTGCCAAGGGTGGGCCTGTCTCYTCCCCACTGAGGACCTGCCTGAATGCCAGGGCTACGCAGCAGGGCACAGCCTGAGTGGCACATGCTGGTTGGATGGGGCCCACGGTGGGGTCATTCACGTCATTCTTCTGGTCTTTTCCAGCTAAGAAGTATAGAAAGGTCACTGGCAAGGAGATCTACTCGGACACCCTGGAGAGCACCCCCATGCTGGAGAAGGAGAAGTTTCCACAGGACTACTTCCCCGAGGTACTGGCTTTCTCAACAGAGCATTTGTTTCTCAGAGTGAGCAAAACAGGAATGAAATTTAGTTACCAACTCATGCTCTGTTGATGGTGACCACAGCCTGCCTTTGCCATTCTCCGGGATTCTGTCCTGGGAGGTTCTGATGCCTGTGGGTTGACCTGGCTGTCCTAGATGTGTGTGGAGGGAACCTGTGGAGTCCAGTAGCAGATGACTGGTCAATTCTTTGGCACCTCTTTTCCAGGAAAAAAGACCCTCCCCCAAGCATGCAGGAAAGTTACCCAGCCCCCTAGAGAGCATGGAGGCCCAACTGACTGGCAGAGACAGCCCGCACTGTGGCTAGGAGTCACTATGTGCCGGGACACACGGGGACGTGGTTTGCCTCTCACCTTCCCAGGGCCAGGGGCTGGGGCAGGGTCCTCTTACAGACAAGGCCTTGGGCCYGTGTCAATGGGCAGGAGTGTTGAAGCCAGGTGGAGCTGCTGGGCAGCTAGCCTCCAGCACCAGGACATGCCCAGGGTTGTGCTGCTTCGCACGGAGGGCYGGGAATTAAAACGCCAGGGAGTGGTTTACTGTCTCACTGCCCAGAAGCGCACAGTCCTGATGCGCTGTGTCCAGCGGGCTTTGGAGCCTTTCCTCTTGTGTGTGGCTGTTATTTGTCTGCAGCTGTTGGCTGTATACACCATGTGGATTCTGCCACTTGGCAACCCTTCCTGAGAGCTGGCATCTTCCGAGCCTGTGCAGCTTACCTGCTGATAACTGTGTGTGGCCTTGCCCCTTTATCATCTGTCAGGTCACAGTGGGGTTTCTATCTGGTGGTCAGAGTGTTTCCAGTGCTGAAGTGGCACTGAGCTCCTTCCCCGATGCCTGCTACCCTCGGCCCACCCACTCTTACCGGGATGCGGGGACGTGTCCAGGCTTGTCTGCTCAGCCCAAGAAGGCCTTTCTGCAGTTCCTTCTCTATGAGGGGCTGCACAGCACAGTGGCCGCACTGGCCTGCAGAGCTGATGTTGAGCAAGGCCACAGCTTTATCAACTTGCTTTATGACCATGCCTGAGTGAAAGGGATTGTGGCGCCTCATGAAGGATGGGCACTCTGTCACCCTATGACTCGGCTTCCTCATCCATCCTCCGCAGGCCAAGGACATGGTGTCAGTGGGCCAGCCTCCTGTGCTCAGCTGGTGCAGGCCTGCCCCCAGGCTCCGCTTCTTTGCCCCCTCTGCACCCAGTGTCTGGGGTTCAGAGAGGAGGGCAGAAAAACTTGGGACCTTCCATGTATCAATACAACATTGCTGTGGGCAAAGCCAGTGGGTACTGCAGTAACCTCAGAGCCTCTGTGGACGGGAAGCCAGTTATAGCCGAGCTCAAGCCTCCGTCCGCCCCACACTGGCCCTCAGTCTGGTAGATACCTCTTTGGGGCCGACCCTGACCCAGGTCTCATCTTTGATCAGAGCAGACTTGAAGGGTATAAGAGGAAACAGTGGGTTCTGGGGAAACCAGGGCTGGACCAAGGCCAGGCAGGGTGAACTGAAGGKGGCAGTGTTGGACACAGGGCACAGGCAGTAGTGTAGTGGTGATTCTTGGAGAGGGGTTGGCATTTGAGGTATCCCCAGGCAGTTTGAGTATCTTTCTTTGCAACTTTGTCTTTTAAATGCTACTTTAAACTGGCTCAAATGTTGATAAGAGGGTGGTGAATCTWTAGCAGATCATGGGCCCCTGAAGACAGAGCTGGTGTGAGCCTGTGCCCAAGACCTGCTCCCCATTGTTGCATGTCGTCTCCCAAGAGCCTTGTGCCCATGTCTGTACCGTGTGCTCAGCTCCCACGTGTCCTGGGAGAGTGGTGTTCTCTCCAGGGCCCATCAAGCAACCTTTTTTCCTGGGAGTGTGCGTGGCCTCGCTGGTGCCCGTGATTCCAGTGAYTACCTCACTCATGATTCTAGAACCTGGGTTGACAGGTCCTCTTGTCTCACCTTCTGTCCATCCTTGGAGGGTGGGGATGCATCCTGGACTCTGTGAAGTACCACGGTACTCTTATTGAACAGGGAAAGGCCAGGAGCCAAGCACTGGGCAGAGTAGCCGGACAGGAAGGTCTTTCTGTGGCATCTTGTGAGTCCCTGATGCCCTCAGCAGGGCTTCTTCTGAAGGTGTCACCTTGCCACCCCGCAGCCTTGGCAACACGAGGAACCAGCCCAATGAGGTCTGGGGGCCTCTGCTGTGCTGTGCTGCCCCTCGAAGGGAAGGTGCTCCGACTCGGCCCCCGTGGGCAGTGCTGTGTGCCCTGGGCTAGTGGGGTAAGGTGTGCTTCCCAATGTGAATGGTGCTCTCCCTCCCACAGGAAGGTGCCYGCCTGGGTCCAGGCCCTTCCTGTACCCTGTGGCCTCACTCTGGGGCCATGCTGTCCTGTCCTCCGGCAGGGGACAGAGTGTGTTTCTGGAAGAGCAAGCTCACAGAAAGGAAGGGCCTGGCGTGTCTTTGAGTGGGCCCCAGCCTAGACTCCAAGAGCAGCAAGTTGCCGTCCACAGCCTGGTGGTCAGCTGACAGCAGTCCTTTGTGGCAAATGAGGCTTGGGCCTGTGGGGACATTGGCTCTCTTGGAGTTGTCATCAGGGAAGCTGTCTTAGGACCCTGTGCATTTGCCCTTATGGCCTGTGCTGTGCAAACAGATTTGTGTGCTTCCTTTCATTCTGGCAATTAATAGAAGGGAGATCTCAGTTTTAAAGTCATGAACTCCAATGTTATATTGGAAACGTGATACTGTTCAGTGTGCAGGACTTCACAAAATAAGTCGTGCTCTGAGGGCTTCCGTGCAGAAGTGTTGCTGGGGACAGGCTTCGGCTGGAGCCCCTGCAGCCCTGCTTGGGCTCGTGCTCCATGCCTTCTGCCAGGCCCTTCACTGTGTTCAGGCACATTTGGGGGGAGGGAATTAGTTTAAGACTGATTTCTCTTTCTTTTATTGCCATCACTTAGGGATAATTTAAATGTAATTACCTTGATAGAAGCATAATGCAATTCTAAATAATTATAGCCCACTGCATCTAAAACTAACAAAACTTTCTCTGTTGATTTATGGGTGCTTTTGGCTCGGCATGAATTTCAGATGACGCCTCTGGGAGCAACACTCCAGATAATGTGAGGCCATTTTTAAAAAGCAGATTTGTGTAGTCGATCGGGCTGAATCATTTTTTTCCTCTTGCCCGTAGTGAGAAATTGGTTGTTACCATAGATCATAGGCCCTGCCGCCAGCTCTGGTGAGAGATGAATTAATTCCACTAATGCTCCAAGCAGGCCTTTCACGGCAGGGCTGCAAGGCGATAACCTCCCCCAGCCCCTCTTTTTCCTCTGCTGCGATTTATGCGGTCTTTTAGTAGATGAAACCGCCTGTACTCGCAATCTGTCTGCAGGCTCAAGGAGCCCTGTTAACAGGGACTGAAGCAGAGACCTCACGTGGTGAGTGAGAGGTGTGGGCATGGCTTGGACTTCACCTGAACTTCAGTGGCTCCTCCAAGAGCAAGGGTGCCACCTCCCCAGGACTGTGAAGCTGCTRCCACCAGTCTAGTCCTGGGAGTCCACAGATGAAGGGTTCAGAAGGTGGTCGGTGACCAGAAAGTTCTAGAACATGACCAGGAGGGCAGACACCCATCAGACATTTGAGGGGCCTCCACTCCACCCATAAATGTGGTTTCATTTGCAGCAGCCCAGGCAATAACATCTACGTCTGGGGACTTCCAGGAGCCCCTGAGGTCCTGAGCATGTGGGCCTGTAGCAGGACCCAGGATTCTTATCCCTGTGCTTTCCACCATGCACCCTGAGCACAGCCAAATCTATGCATGAGAATGTGTGTACATCTGTGCATATGGCTGCATGTATTCGTGTGTGGGCCTGTGTGTGTGTGTGTGTGTGTGCATGTGTATTTGGGGGGAGTACCTGGGGATGTCACTCTGAGGATCTCTGTCAGAAAGGTTCCTGCACCATTGATGACTTGGGGGAATCGGTGCCTTTGGGCCACCCCTCCCCACCTTGACCCTGAGTGCTCAGGCTGGGCCAGAAGCAGGAAGGGGAAAGGAACTTTGGCCCAGGAAGTAGGGAAGTGGATCCCAGCTCTGATCCTTTCTCAACAGGCTGGTGGTCTTGGACAGGTGGGGCCCTACTTTCCTCTCTGTTGACCACCTTCTGGTGGCAGAAGGRTCCATGGGACACTGAGGGTGAGGCTGTCTTTCTCATGGTCTCTGAAAGGACTGGTGCGGTATCCCAGCCCAGACAAAAGAACATGTGGGAAGATCTCAGGGTCACAGGCTGTAARTGTCAGTGTTATGCATTGTGCCATTTTTCATGTTATAGACTCTTTCAGAAATGCAATTTGAATCAATTGTGATTATAGTTCCTCAAAAGGAACACGTTTTCTGCAGATATCTCATCAAAACATTTGACTATAACAAAATTACGCTTAAATTTATATGTAATTTAGTTAAAAATGTCTTCAGAACTCTTAAGACATTACCAATTTATACTATACCAAATTATACTATACARTATTACCAACTTATACTATACAAAAATAACATTGTATCTTCTATTGTATTATTCAGTCTACTAATATAATTATTGCAARTAATGCCCCATTGTTTTGGAAAGTGAAATATTTAAACAGGACACACATGTACATGTACACTCAGGACATACATGCATACGTACCTTCACTTACACGAAGCAGAAAACTGAGGGGAACAATAATTAGTTAATTTTTGGTCCAAACATTTGTAAGTGTGTCCCACGTGTAATGGCAGTAAGCTGTTGGCTGCTGTGGGTGAGTAAGTGCATCCTAGAGGTGCTGGGTGTGTGACAGGGTGTGCGTTCACACAGTGTGGTGTTCGAGCTTGGAGAAGGCAGTCAGATGATGGGCCACTGGAAAAGTCCAGGAAGATGTGATGGTCCACTTTGGAGGCGCCTGTGCTGAGGGAAGAGAAAGCAGGGGGCCTAGAAGCCACCAGAGCCCCTCCTTGATGACTCATTGAGAAGGAACCRTAGTGGTGACAGGATCAAGACCAGCTCTCAAAGCAACTGAGTTGCCTAGGCAGGTCCTGCATGGTGAGCCTGTGGGGCCCCGTCCTTCATTCCCTGATTCTGGAGTTAGAGTCCACCTAGCCACAATCAGGTGACCAGGCAGAGAGGAGGCGATGAGGGTAAAAGAGGAAGGGAAGCCTCAGCTGTGCCCTGGTGAGGTGGGTGACAGCCCTCCCCATCTCACAGCATTCCCAGGGGCGTGGGCTGTGTCCTCTCCTCTTGGTTCCGAGGCCCCCCCATCTGGGCCCCATCCTCACAACTGCAGAGAAGCTGGGCCCTGGCCCAAGGGGCATTGGTGCTGACCATGAGACACCTGGGCAGGCTGTAGGTGGAGAGCTGTGGCTGTTGCTGGCAGCAGGCTTCCCAGGAAAGCATGGAATGGATTCAGACATGAACAGGATGGAGGAAGCCGACAGTCTGTCTGGGGCACAGGGTGTATGAGGAGAGGGTCCACCAGGCTTGCCCTCCTGGCTTGGTGCCTGACTGCAGAGTGGCCTCTGCAGCACCAGCTCTCCTCCCAGCTCAGATCCATCTGTTTTACCAACGCTCCTGTGGGCACATGGCCTTCCTAGGAAGCCACCTGCTGATTCTGAAGGCCTGGTCTGTAATGACAGCAAGTGTCTKACCTGGGACAGGTAAGCCCTACATTCCTTTCAGTGCCACTCTGTTCAGGTGACACCTTACCAGTGTCCAGGAGCTTTTGTACAGCCTTTGTCATCCTGCAAGTAGTATGACCTGAGCCCAGCAGGCTGCAGGGACAGAGCCAGCACACCTGGACAGGCAGAGCAGGAGGGGTGGGAGCAGCATGGGCCACCCTGCTGTACCTTCTGCTTGATTCTTCTGTATACCTAGAACTGCTCTGAAAAATAAAACCTGTGATTTTTTWAAAAAAGTCTCCTTCCTAGGCCTGGAATGTCAGAAGTGAGAGGCGCAAGACTAGTCCTGGAAAGAGACAGGCCAGAGCCATCTGTGGGCCCTGTGGGCACTCGGTAGGCACCTCGGTGTCACCAGGGAGTGGGGCCTCCCAGGATCCATCTGGTGCTCCTGTGGCACAGCCAGGGTATTACAAGGTGGAGTGGGCAGGGCACCGCCTGTTCAGGAGATGGCAGAAAAAGCAGGTGTGTGGGCTGCAAACCCCGGGGGGTGAGGTGAATTAGGAGTAAATGAAGGAAATGGGGTTGAATGAGCTGACAGAGACCTGAAAATGAGTATGTTTAGAGTGCTCAGAGAGACACGTGATAAAGTTTAYTAATTAAGATGGTATTCACTCACACAGAAATAGGAACAAGGGACCTGAAAACCAGTCTATAGAAACATAGTCATTAGAAGGGACATAATAGATTATAAATCAGAGGTGAACAGAGAGACTTAGTGAATTGGAAAATGTTATTAAGGAGTTTATTTAGAGCATAATCAAGAGATAGGATTTTTGCTTAGGTTCATGTTTTTACTTCCTTTTCCATACTTTTTGAATGGTATGTGATGGTGGGACTCATTGTGACATGTTTGTACTTGCACACACTGTAACGATGTGACTTGCCAATATCATTCCCAGTGTGTTGACAGCTACACAATTCACAAGGGTGAACTATGAAACCACCTAGGTGTCCATCAGCAAATGAATGGATAAGAAACTGTGGTGCACACATGCACAGTGGACGTCTCAGTCGGCTTTCATCACTGCGACCAAAAGAACTGACAAGAACAGTGTGGAGGATGAAAAGTTCATTTTGGCTCACAGGTTCCAAGGTCTAGTCTATGGTCAGCTGACACCTAACTTTGGACCCAGGATGAGGCAGAACATCGTGGTAGAAAGGTGTATCGGAGGAAAGAGCTCAGAACACGGCCACCCAGAGGCTGAGAGGGGCTCCACTCACCAGGGACAGAATGAAAACCCCAGTGACTCAGCTTCTCCACCTGTGTGCCCACATGTTTTTTATTTTTTACTTTTTGGCACCAGGGACTAAACTCAGGGGTACTTAACCACTGAGCCACATCCCATCCCTTTTATTTTGAGACAGGGTCTCCCTAAGTTCCAGAGGCTGGTTTTGAACTTGTGATCCTCCTGCCTCAATCTCTTGAGCCTCTGGGATTTCAGGTGGGCACCACAGTGCCTGGATGTTTTTTATTCTTATAGAAAGGAGCAGTGAAAAGACATGATAGCCCTACCAAGTAGCTCAACAATTCATCCAAAAGAAATTCCAGAGAGAAGCAATGGGGAGCAGTGTTGGGAAATGTAAGGGGAAACTTCCCAAATAAAGAGTTGAGTTTTCCAGCTTAGTGTCTTCAGGATTCAGAGCAGGGCATGTAAGAATTGGTCTATACCCAGGTACTTGAGAACATTGGTGACAAAAAAAAAAAAAAAAAAAAATTTTAAACTGACGGGAAGAAGACATGCCACGAGGACTGACAGCTAGAGCTCCCCAAGTGTGGTTCTCTAGCAAGAGAGCAAGGGCCTCAGAGCCCAGCAGAAGGTGGGCAACAGGCCAGCACCCAGAGTCCCCAGCACAGAAGGAGCTGGAGGCTGGGCGGAAGCATCCCAAGGGCTGGCAGGAGCACGTGAGTCAGGAAGAGGAGCCCCTAGTCCTGATGTCCCAATACCCAGAGCCCCGTGTGGTAGTAGAGAGCAGGGAGGAGACTTGCAGAGGGTGGCTGATGAGGTTAAACACAGGAGGAGCAGGCACCTTAGAGTCTGTGTGGAGGTCAGCGTGACCTTGAAGGCATCAATTGAGCTGAGTACTGCAATTAGGATCTGAACTACCCTTGAAGATGGGATGCGAGTGGGAGGACTGACAGCCATGTGTTTGGACTTCTGTGGTCCAAGGKAGCGTGGCGAGTAAGGGAAGCAGAACTGAGTTGGGGCCATGCCGAGAGATGTGAGGTCAAGGGCAGGGCTTTATTTTAACCACCAAAACTGTTCTATTAGATAAGGAAGTTCCTTGGAGCTCATTTCTCAGGACACTACTTTGAGGACTGAGGATCTCAGTGATCCGCAGTCCATTGGGGTTCCCCAGGCCCAGAACCTTCTGTGGCCTCACAGACTGCACTGCACAGCCAGGTGCTGCGCATCTTKCCTCCCCACAGGAGTGTGGGCACATGTTGGGCAGTGATGCTGGGGAGGGCTGCCCAGGCGCAGGGAACGTGGAACAGTGGCTGACAGGCACTCTGTCTAGCCCCTGACTTGCCCTGCCCTACCCCTTCCTGCTGCTCTGGACCCACCTGAGGAGGGTGAGGAGACCTGCAAGGGTCCTCTCCGTTTCTGGGAGAGAACATGTGTCAGAGGGATGCCTTAGGCCAGTGGCTTGGAAACAGCAGGGATTCGTCTCAGGCTCTCCACCTGGGGTCCTGTTTTAATAGTCAGTTTTTTTTTTTTTTTTTTGCTGTGGTGACTAAAGGACCTGACCAGCACAAATGTAGAGAAGAAAAGTTTTATTTGGGGGTTCACGGTTTCAGAGGTCTCCATCCATAGACAGCAGGCTCTATTCCTTGGGGCTCGAGGTAAGGCTGAACGTCACAGCAGAGTGTGTGGCAGAGAGAAGCAGCTCACATGGAGATCAGCAAGCAGAGAGTGAGACTTCATTCTCCAGATACAAAATATATACACCAGAGCCACGTTCCCAATGAACCACTTCGTCTAGCCACACCCCACCTGCCTCCAGTTACCACTCAGTCAGTCCCATCAGGGATTTGCTGATTAGATTAGGGCCATGACCCAATCATTTCTCCTCCAATTCTTGCATTGTCCCACATGTGAGCATTTGGGGACACCTCACATCCAAACCATAACAGGGCTCAAGACCCAGATGCTGGCAGATTTAGTGTCTGGTGAGGGCTCTGTCCTCCTGGAGCCAAATGTTGTCTCCCTGAGTGGCAAAAGGAAAGGAAGGGGCAAAAGGGCCCAGACTCCCCTTGGCAAGCCCTTCTGTAAGTACATTAGCATTGGGAAGGAGGGGCCCCGGTGACTGGCTCCTGAGAGGCCCCTCAGTACCAGTGCACTGGCAGTAGGATTTCAGCATGTCTTTGGGACCACATTCAGACAGCAGTTCTTCCTTGGGGCTACCCTGCATGTGAATAAATGCCAGTCCCATGCTGTGCTGGGGTGGTACTTCTCATGCCTTCCCACGCCAAGCTCCTTGCTGTGGACGTCTCGGGTGGGCTGGCTCGCTGGCCCTCAGGACCCCTCGCTCTGGCGAGCACGCCTTGCAGAGTGCTTTCAGCGCCAAGAGCACAGCGCTCTCCTGTGCTGACTCACTGTCTGACCTTTGTTTTTCAGTGCAAATGGTCAAGAAAAGGCTTCATCCGGACGAGGTGGTGCATTGCTGACTGGTATGTTCCTGGGTGCAGGACCACCTGTCTCCTCTTCGTGACACTCAGAGTGCTCTGACCTCCTGCTGTGTTCGTGGTCTTGCCTGACCCCCACAGGCACTCTGTGACCTTTTTAGTTTGTGGGTGATGCACACGGTGCAGAGTTGTTGCTCGTTTTCTGTACATTGGAACTTTGGATGCTCGGCACAAATGAAGACACAGCCAGGTCCTCAGGGAGCCTCTGRTGGGCCTTCTGGCTGCAACCTGTTGTGACCAGGACCTGTGCTAACCAGGACCTGAGCAAAGCTGGGTCTGAGTTGTCTATGACCACCTTCCTTAAGACAGACCTCCCATAGCTCCTGGCCTCCCTGCCCCATGGTGGTGGTGGAATCCCTCATGAGGTTTTACCCTCCCTCCAGGGATTTCTGAACCCTTGCTGCTATAGAACAGACCCACCCTCTGCTCCCAACTTCAGAGTCAGCCATTGCCTGGACTTTGGCTTCTGTTGCTCCAACTGGGGTCTGACCGGGGTCCTGTGGGCTGTGGGACACTTTTCTGAGCTTGCCCATCATGGTGGTAAAAGCCCATTCCTCCCCATGCACTTGGGCAGGGGGAAAGGGAGACAGAAGAACACAGGTGGGGCTCTAGTCCCTTGTGATCTAATGCAAGAGGAGGGTGRCCACCGTCCTGCTGCCCTTTGCCCTGAGTCTCGGGGACTAGCCCTGGTACAGTGTAGGAGGGACACCATGGGTGTGGACACCTGGGGTGGTCATTGGGCTGGGGCAGGAGAGCACAGACCTGCAGGCTCTCCTGGATGGCTTCTGCTGCCAAGGGGACGAGGCCCAGTGTCAGTGTCCTACAGAGGAATCCGTGTGGCAGTGAGCACTTGGAGTAGTGGTAGGACCTCCTGATGAAGGGCACATCCACACCAGCTGGGGATCCTTGGCATTCTCCAGGGTGTGGGAAAGGCTTCTCCAGATCAGATTCCAGCCTTGCCACGTCCTTGTGTGTGGAGGGGTCCAGTGAGGCTGCTGAGGGTCTTCCTCAGGCTGTGTGCTCTGCCTGCCTGCCTGCCTGCCTTTGTGCACCTGGCCCCTGTCTCCCACTGTGGGGTCCCTGATGGTGATGCAGTGGGCTGGCCTCAGCAGCGTGGGCTGCTGGGACTGAAGACCGGAGGGGAGCTCCCTTCTCTCTGCTCAGCACACAGTTGTGGTAGGTTCTGAAATCCTGTACAGGTCCTTTCCTTAAAGACAGCCCTTGCTTGACCTGGCCAGGGTGCCTGCATTTGTAAGGGTTATTGGAGACTTAAGGAGAGGTCTCGCACCCCCTGGCCTCGGGTGCTACTGCTGCAGGTGTGGCTGAGGACAGGTGGGTGGGTGGACCAGTGGCTCCCCCACGGAGAAGGCAGGTGCCGACACATGCTCTCTAGGGCACAGGGGGGGTGGCCCTGCTTAGGGCAGCCAAGGATGCTGGCTGACGATCGCCTGGTCCTTTTCTCTCTTCACCACAGTGCCTTCGACTTGGTAAACATCCACCTTTTCCATGATGCATCCAACTTAGTGGCCTGGGAGACAAGCCCTTCTGTGTACTCGGGCATCCGGCACAAGGCCCTGGGTTACGTGCTTGACAGGTAGGTGCTGCTGTGCCCTGTCCACTTCAGAATGTGGCCTCGTGGTTCATTTTTTTCCTGTTTGGCAGTGGCCCTTGGAATGCCAACCATTGAGGCTCTGAGAGCCCTAACCTCATGCCCTGGCTTGAGCAGGCCCTCACCATAACATCCCTTCCCTTCCACATTTGTGGGAAAGAGAAGAAAACAGCACCGTGAAGACGGYGGCAGGACATAAGTTCTGACAGTGATGTGACTCCACATCACAGCAGCTGAATCTGGCTCTGGGCTCAAAAACAGATGCTTCCTGGGTTGCACTGGCAGGGCAGCGTCTTCCCTCAGCTTTGGCCCTGTCTGGTGACTCCCAGGTGCTGCACTCAGGGTCTGGACAGCGTAGAGCCGCACCCAGGTGCGTAGGGTCAGTTTGGGGGTCTTTCTGCACAGCCCTGCACAGTGCAGCTCCACCTGCTGAGCCTTTCTGCCATCCAGCTGGCCAGGCTTCGGTGACCATCAAGATAGGGGCTGCCCTCCTTCTGCCTGGGCTCCTAGCTGCCCTGGCTCCTCCTACCTGGGTGCTCCAGGTCCTCCGTCCTCTGTAACGTCCCAGGTGACCTTCAATAGGGTCGGAGCTGATGTGCAGATGGGCCTTTTGCTAAAGTTTAGCTTAGGCAGCCAAGTCTGGGTGTAGTCTGCTCACTCTTTGTGGTCCTCATATTGGAACCCTCTTCTCCCAGCTTCTTCCCATGGCCAGTGTCAACTGGAGCTTACAACAAAAACATCCCATAGGCTTAAGACAGGCATTTGCCCTGAGGGGTCTCTGATTTCACCAGAGCCCACAGTTTCCCAAGGGACCTCCCTGACCCCCAGCCCCATCATGAGGAGCACAGCATTGTGCCTGAGTGAGGATGRGGGCCTCATATGCTCTGAATCATCCTCTCCCCCATCAGACTTTGGCCTTTCCATTGCCAGGGCCTGGCCTCCCTTCTTCCTGCACCTGCCCACCCCCGTTTTTTTTGAAATGCCATCATAGGCACTTTTTATCCATACTCCTGGAAAAACGTGAGGTCTGTGAGCACGGCATCAAGCTCAGCAGAAAGGACACGCTGTTCCCAGGCCACCACCCATGCCTGGAGTGGTCATACAGCTAGCTGTCCGTGGCCTGTGGACAGAAGCCCTGGCCATGGTGTGCCAACGGCTGGTCTCAGGAAGCAGAGCCAGGACAAGGTGTCGGGTGCTCCGAGTCCCTGGGAGGCTTCTCAGGAGGGTGAGGGAAGAAGAGTCACCTGGAGAGGCCTGCCCCTGTGTCCTTCCTGTGTGCACCCAGTGCTGTCGGGTCCCCGAGGGCAGAGCCGGGGTAGCCCACGAGAGGACCCTGAGTCTGGGCACAGTCCTCCCCAGCAAGCAGGACCTGTGGCCTGAGGGCTGTCCTGAGGAGTCCCTGGGGTCAGGTGGGSTCACAAAGGGAGGCCCCTGCACAGGCATCTGGGTGCAGGCTTGCCGCCTCACTGCCCATCCTGAGAATCRTGTGTACAAGTGCATCCATGTGTATACACCTGCCGTATGTCAGCCCTGTGTGTCCTGAGGAGACTGGGGAGACTAGAGCCACCTGCTTGGCCATTAACCTGGCATGTGGCCACCACTTGCCTAAGGGACATGCCTCCCTGCCTGGGAGAAGCAGCCCAGAGCCCTACAGAATAGCCCCTTTCCTTGTCTGATCACTTCCAACCCAGTCCTCAGCATGAGGGCTCCAGGGGCTGCTGGTGTCTTCCAGGCCCTTGCAGAAGAACAATGGGTGTAGGATGTGTGTCTGGATGCTTCTGCTAACACTGCCTGGCACATAGCCATGCCCTAGCCAGGGCTGGGCCCTGAGCATAGAGGCAGGCCTCAGCTGAAGGCTGGGCCCTTGCTCTCCTATTGTGAGGTGTGGCACTGGCAGGCCATGGGGCTCAGGTGCTTTGTCCTGTAGCCACATYCTTGTCCAGATCCCTCTCTCTCGTGTGTCTCCTGCACTTCACACTCCTGCCCTGGAGTACCTTCTGCTGTGGTCCTGCATGGCCACCACTGGGCAGGGGCCCCTCTGAAAGCTGCTGCCCACTTGCTCCTGGAGTGAAAAACTGACCACAGCTGCCCTGAGCAAGGCCAAACCTTGGAGGATGGCACCAGACTGGTGTACTGCAGGGAGATCATCACAGTCAGTTTAGGCCTGAGGCTGCCTCAGTTCCAGGCAGGTGGCCCAGACTGCTTCCCGCTGGCAACTCCTCAGTGGCCAAGGACTGGCTGTACCCTGTGCATTGTCTGCGGGGCCTCCCTCTCTGGACAGGGAATGGGCAGCCTTCTGGGCGGAGCCATGGCCACAGCAGTCAGGTATGGCTTTCCTGCCTAATTACTTCTTTGCTTCGTGGCACCAAGTTTTTCATGAGCCTCCCAGGCAGCCTAGGAGCCAAGAAAGATCTGCGGGCCATTCAGTCTTGGTGACCATGGTCAGGTTGCCAGTATGGTGAGACATTAAAAAGTGTCATTGCTGCATGCTGCCATGCCTGTATGGCCCCCAGAAAAGCGATCTTGGGGGTTTGGGCCACTTTTCTGCATCTTTGCATTCCCACGAATGGCTTCTGTGGCGAACTCAGCCAGCCGCAGATCCGGACCTCCGCGGTGCAGGGTTGGGCCACCGGGCACAAAGGGGTGCTCTGTAGGAGCAGTGAATAATGGGTCGCCCTTTCATCAGGGCTGCTAACCTTTTGGCAGCCACCAGCAGACTGCATTCTGCTGTGCTGATTGGGGAGGACAATGCCGCTCTGGCCCTTTGAATGGACATTGCCACCAACAGCGCCGCATTCACAGCAGCACTGGGAACTGCTGTGAGCATTGTCTACCGTCTCTGCTGAGCTGCAGGAAACAGCAAGAGTGCTGTGGGGAGGYTGCCTGCTCCTGGCCAGGTCTCCTTGCACAGCACTGGGTCCCTTTCTCCATCTAGCTGCAGGAGGCAGTGAGAGTGCCCCGGGGAGGCTGCCTGCTCTCCGCCAGGTCCTTCTGTGTAGCTCCTGGGATTCCATCTCCAACTGAGCCACAGAAGCAGGAGGCAGTAGACCAGGAGCACAGTCAGCGGTGTGCCCCCATCTCAAGAATTGGGGCGGATGCTATATTAAAGCTGGCTTTTCTCTAAATCCAAGATCATTTCAAAATAAACAGGTTATTAAAGAAACAAAACAGAGACAGGTGCTCTGAATCCAAGTCTCCATCCAKCAGCCCCTGCAGTGAGTGGCATGGCCACACGTAGCAGTTCTGTCATGCGCAGGGTGCCACCTGGCAGGAGCACACAGGTGTCTGACGTGCCCCGGGCCAGGAAGGATCTGCCTCTCATTCCAGCTTGTGATTAGCCACTGCCTTTTGGTGGGATTGGTGTTTGAGGCTTCAGAAAATGCCATTCAAATGTCAATCAAAAATAGTCTATGGGTTTCTCAGGATTTCTTTTCTTTCTTTCTTTCATTTTTTTTTTTGAGGTGCTCTGGATGAACCTAGGACATTGTGCGTGCTATGCACTGAGCCACATCCCTAGCCCAGGATATTCTATCAGAGATAATAATCTCTATTTTTTTTTTTTTTGGTACAGTTTGTGATTTTTTTTTTCTTGCCTCCCTTGTTTTGAAAGGTTAGGACAAAAGTGCCTGGTTAGTGAAGAGAGGCCCAGCATGTTCAGCTGGTCTGAGCGATGCTGGGGGTTCAGGTGCTGRAGGAGTCCTGGGGGTGGCTCTGAGCAGTGTCCACACTGGTCCTTGTTGCAGACTCATCCCTGTCCTGATGCAAGGTCAGCTCTGGGTGGGGGTTGGGGGGTCCTTGCATTTGCCTTCCTGAAWTGCCAACCCCAGATGTGTCCTGAAGTATTCCTGAGTGCTGGGCCATGAAGTGAGAGCCTCTGCGAGTGACAGCACTCTTCTCTGTCCACCTTGAAAMACAGCCTCCCTGGTCCGCAGACATCTCCACATTACAACTGTGAAATCCTGGCATAAAGCGCCCCTCTGTCCCCCATTATTTTCTCACAAACATAGTCCATTGTCATAGCACTGAAGTTAATTTGATCAACATTGGGACATTTAACTTTTATGTTCAGTCAAAAGAGTTGTTTCATGCTCATTTTGGGCATTCAAAGGAAATGATTGCCAGAAAAATAATGTTCCTCTGAACAATTCGGAGCAATTAGTTTCCCAGGGAGAGGCGATGTGACGCGGGCGGCCACACAGCTCCCTTTGTCGCGGTGTGGATGGTCATCAGTCAGCTGTCAGCCTGCTCAAAGACCCCGCCAACCAAACGCTTCTCTGTGGGCCGTTCCCAGAGCTCGCCTCGCTCCAGAGAGCAGAAGGGAAGCCCTGCGCCTCCAGGCAGGGCCGCTCCTGGCTGAGGGTTCCGACCATTCAGGTGCCCTGCCTGGTGGCCAGTGTGGTTCCGTGCCACCCAGTCAGGCTTTCTTAAGACCCACTGGCTCCAGGACATCTGCTGTCCCTCTGGGACTTGCCCCGCCCAGCACGGAGCCCTGTAGCACCCCAAGTGCCCCTCCATATTCTTGGCTACTTCCTATACAAGGCTCAGGATTGTTCTAGTATTTCCATAGCATCTCCAGGAACAGGCCTGGTGAGGCCATGTCGAGCCCAGCTGCAGTCCTGGGCCTCATGCCTCGGATGGCTGATGAAGTCTCTAATTTGTCCTTGACCCTACTGGTTCAGGCCTCCAGAAAAGCAGTGAGGGCCCTCGTGCCAGGAGCCGCCTCTTCCCTCTGCACAGTGGCATGAGGTTCTGCACTTTGCTTGTTTGTGAAGAATGGGCATGTGGATGCCTCTGGTGCCCCTGCACCCTTTGCCCTCTGCCTGCCTTGCTCTGTGCACCCCCTGGCTCAGGCCTGTCACTGCATGTTTCTGTGCAAGACATGAGCACACATGTCCGCCTCTGTGTACTGGGTGGAGGCAGGCATGCACCTGTCATCACATGTATGTGGTTCGTGTTTTTGCACACGGGGTGTCTATAAGTGATGC